ATTTTTTTTTTTTTTTTTTTTTTTTTTTTTTTTTTTTTTTTTTTTTTTTTATACTGGTTATTGGCTTACTTAGGGTGTAAAATTAAATATATATTTAGGGTTTAGGGTTTATACTACTCTAGGGTTTAGGGTTTAGCTTTTATAAGGAATATATTATATAAGGTAATTAGGGTTTAGGGTTTAGGGTTTAGGGTTTACGTAATTAGCTGCTCTTTCTTTCATTTGTTTTTTTAATAATAAATCTTCTTGCTGCTGCTGCAGCTGCTGCTGCAGCAAAGAAAAGTTGCTGGCAGCAAAAGAGGAATTAAAGGATGCATGCATGCGATTAGTATTATTATTATTAAATACAGGCCATAAGGATTCATTTGCTGCTGCAGCTGCTGCAGCAGCAGCAGCAGCAGCAGGAGCAGCAGCTGCAGCAGCAGCAGCAGCTGCTGCTGCTGCTGAGGATGATGATGATGATACCCCTAAGGTAGCTTCATTAACTAAAGCAGCAACAGCTGCTGAGTTCAATGCAGCTGCTGCTCCTCTGCTGCTGCTGCCACCTGCTGCTGCTGCTGCTGCTGCTGCTGTTGTTGCTGCTGCAGGATATGCGTAAGAAGCATCCGTCATTGTTGCCGCATCGTTAGCATTTCTTGTGCTGCTGCTGTTGCTGCTGTTGCTGCTGCTGCAGGTGCAGAAAGGTACGGGACCACTGGTGCTGCTGTCTGCTGCAGTGCTGCTGCTGCATGCAGGGAAGCAGCAGGAGCAGGTGTCCCCTCTGCTGTCTGCTGCATCGCTGCTGTTGCTGCTGTTGCTGTTGCTGCTGCTGCTGCTGCCTTGGGTTTGCTGCGCTGCTTCTGCTGCTGTATCCAATGTGGTCTTACTGTGACAACCCCCCATGGTCTTACCACCCCTGCTGCTGCTGCTGTTGCTGCTGCTGTTGCTGCTGCTATTTAATGAGTTATTTTTCTCTATTTGTGAGGTATTTCTTTCCTTTTTTCTGCTGCCTATACACCGCAAAGATATACATTAAGGAGGTAGTGTGTTACTGTCAATAAGGGGAAAAGAACAACCCTTCTTGTGTCAAGACGAATAAAGGAACAAATAAACAAATAAGTAAATAAATAAATAAATAAATAAATAAATAAAATAATAAATAAATAAATAAAATAATAAAAATAAAAGAGCAGAGAATTACTTATTATATATTAAAGGAATATTATTTACTGCATAAAGAAACAACAAGAGCGCGGTGTATATAATTGGCGTTTTTTCTACGTCAATTAGCCATAAAAAAGGAAATAAAAGGGTAAATAAATAAGTAAATAAACAAATGTAATTAATTAAGACAAAAAAAGAAGAAAAAAGGAGAAAAAAGAAGAAAAAACGGCCTTTTTATATTTATAGACCAATGGTCACCTTGATGGTCACTCGAGTGGTCCACTGCAGCAGCAGCAGCAGCAGCAGCAGCAGCAGCAAATGAGCTGCCTATACACCCGAATTAATTGTCATATTTTATCATTAAAAAGAGGAAAATTAATTGAAATAATTAATTTATTTTATTTATTTATTTATTTATTTATTTATTTCTTCTTTTTTCCTCTTATTTATACATAATAACACACACAACCCCACCCTCCTTCCCTCCTCCTACAAGGAGCAAAAAAAGCAACAAAAAAAAAAAAAAAAGAAAAGAATAAATATTATTTAATTAATTAATTTATAATTAACTATTTTACTATTAATTAATAAATAATTTATTAATTTATTAGCAACTAATTAACAAAAATTAAATCTGTGGTGCTATAGTGCAACTATTAAGGAAAAAAAAAAAAAAAAAAAAAAAAATTTCTTTTTTTTTT